CGTTTATTCGCACACACACGGTTACATATCAATTTTAACTTTAAATGGTACGACTAGCTTAACAACTTCGCTTGAAGGCGGTCAAGTACAATCTGCCGTACAAGGCGAATTCATATAAGGTGGTGTCGATTCTACAAATACAACAATTACTTGTATTTTGTTTTTGCTTTGAGCGGGCCATTGTCAAAATCAAGGCGAATTTGCCTTTGTCAAAATTCGGAGGTGAATTTTTATGAAAATAAAATTGTTACTTATTTTAGTTGCATATGAATATTTTTAGATGATTTTCGATTTCAGGAATTAAACTTTCTCCCCATATTAAGAGCAGCTGATCGAGATTCTCAAGATTCAAAGAATCTAAGTTGAAGCAATTATTAGGGGGTAAGTACCAGTGAAGCTGATGGCTCTTTGTGGCGCTGAGCTACCGAGTGCATGCTACACCGTTCCTAAACAGCTCTAAGTTTCCTTCAATGGTCGTCAAACCTTGGAGAAATTATGTTTGTAAGAAGTTCTGGCTGCCAGCACACAAACAAAACAGCGTTCGAAACTAGTATTCGTGCTAGAAGGTGATGTTCACATTGTGCCAGCAGCAGGAAAATTCCGCTGTAAGTGCGCCAATATGAGCAGTATTAGAAAAAAACATACATACATATGTATCTAGTAAATGACTTTTTAATCTAAAATCCCTTAGGTTAAAATCCCATAACAATTCATCGAAACATGCACTACACCTACGGGCGAATATGGGAAATGTGCCTTGATTATTGTCGCAAATTAAGGTTGACCCAAACACAAATGGTACATCGACTGCTTCACAAGCGCAACCAGCGCGCCAGATTCGTCTGCATCACCTCAACAATAAAGATGACTCAAAACAGAATAATTTTTATGAAATGCATAATTTTACGTATATTTCAATTACAAATTTACTAAACTAAAATTAAATTTCAAGTAATTTATGAAATCGCGTGTTTAAACGATTTATGATTTTACTAAACATACTTACATATTTTAAGTGTGTATTTTTTTACAGAAAAATACAGAGCATTTTTACATGATTGTATGTACATATCGATGGTCCTGTGCAATAACGACACAATTAAAAATTCAAAAAACAAAAATTATCACTACTGTTAAGTGGCTCTTGTCTCTAATCCTTGTCTAATCCATTTCCATCCCTTACTAAAGTAAGCATTAAGGATTGCTAAAGTAAGTACAAAAGATTTGACATGAATTCGACAAGAATTAGACACATAGCCACTTAACAGTAGTAACAGTTTTTATTATTTGAATTTTTAGTTGTGTCGTTATTGCAAAGGACCATCGATATGTAAATTTTTTAAGATTATTAGAAAATTAAGTGTGAGAAAAAAGTTACAAGGATGAGAAATTTAAATATAAATTTGTATATATACATATATATTCATATATGAATTTCTTTGAATAATTACACTAAGCATTACAAATGTTAATTAAAATGCTGGGGGCGCTGATGTATCACCTTTCGTGTGGCGGTGGTGCTGCTGGTGTACTCTCCTAAGGTGCGTGTAACGTGCCACGGAGTGCGTGGTGGTGCTGCTGTGCCACCGAGTGTGCTGGTGGTGCTGATGTATCGCCGTGCGTGTGGCGGTGATGCCGCTAGTCTACTAAGGTGCATGTAACGTGCTACCAAGTGCATGCTGATGTGTCTAGCTGTTAAATGAGAAAATTTATATAAAACTATAAACATATCGATGGCTGAGGGATCGACCTATCTCGGCGGCCAGTCCGAAAACACCTTATCGCAGCACATTTTCGTTTGAGATATGGCGTTCTTCAACCAAATTCTGAAATAGGGTGCTTTTTTAATTCTGAAGTTGGGCGTTCTTGAAACAATTTCTGAGATAGGGCGTTTTTGAACTAGCTGCCGAGATAGGCCGATCTTCCACTCAGCCATCGATATAAACAATTTTATCTTAAACTGTTAGATTCAGAAAAAACTTGTAGTTTCTCTTACCGCTCAGAGTTTGATCTTTATAAACTTTTTGCTTCCCATGATCCTTTGCTTCGCCTTTTTAATTTTCAGCCGCTTGTTCAAACTGCGTATTCGGAAGAAAATTCGGCACTTAAAAAAGAAGCGTTTGACCTTTTCTGGAAGGTCAACTTCCGCGCTTCTTACGACCATCTGCTGGTGGATATTCTTACTGAAAGAAATCTCTGATGCGTTCATATTGTCAAATACGGACTCCAGTCCTTTAATTTTTTGCAAAAATTTGTCTGTTGGCTTTTTTAAATAGCCTTTGGAGACTTGGTCGACCCACGTAAATGATTTTTCCGTGGACTGGTATTCCTCAAGATTGAGCTTTTTTATGATATATCCGGAAATATATTCCAAAGCGTCCTCTTTAAGAATACCACATTCGTCAGAATGTGCTGTGGGAATTGCGTTTAATATGTCCTTATCCATTCCATCGTTAAGCAAGTCTTCGATTGCGCTCTGCTCGTCATACTTCAACATCGTCTGTGATTGCGTCAGATTCATCGAATTTGTGTCATCATGTTCACTGTCAATATGGAAGGCATCGGTTACGCTGGAACTAACATCGTTAGACTTAGACGACGTCTGCGTTTCTGTTTGCGTGTCAGACGAGTTCAGCCAGTCAGTGCGATCTACTGCAACATTACCACTGCCATGCAAATGTTCAGTATTCCGTGCTGCGAAGTAATACAAAAGATCATACGTTTCCTTGTTTTTAAGCATTTTTAATTTTTATACCTAAGATGTACTTTCGCAACCGGTATTTAAATTCCTTCGGAGTCGGATGGTCATTCAGACCACCTTTGCTGCGAATAGCGCCGAAGAAATGCTCTAGCACATCTTGATTTAACCGATATGTCAACAAATATTCCACTCTTGAATTTTGTTTCAAATAGTCGAACAGCATAACCAAAGCTCGGTTTGTTACGAGTATCCCTTTTTGAAAATACTCCAAGCTCGTCTTATTGGGAATTATGGGCACAGAAACACATTCGTTCATTCTTTGCAAAACTTCTAATTGGCTCGAAAGAGCTATCCCGAAAGGTTCCTTTAAACATAGAATTATTGTTAAAAATTGTCTAACTGAAAAATCTTTATCTAATGTAAAATACTTTTCCAGGGTAACCAAAAGTTTCCATCGATGAGTTTAATACGTCGAACCAATCGTTGACCAGTTGTATGAAATCTGCTGTCTCTGTGGGCTTATGTAGGTCAAAACCCAACGAGAAACAGCGTCTAATTGCGTTAGCCGTGGTATTAGAAAATAATTGTGCGGCTAGTTTTACTTTTTGCCTGCCTAAAATTTTGTTTTAAATGAATGAATTAACGAAAATTGTATGTAACTACATATGTATATAACCAACCTATCCCTTTCACTAAAAGATGCTCGTCATTTAATTTAAAAAAGTGAAGTTTGATGCAACAAATTCCAAATTGTCCGTGTGGTTAAATGTTCGCCCTTCCACAACAAACCCGAGTCTAAGAAATGGTTACGAACTAGTTTCAAAAGATGTGGCGTGTCAGCAAATGCAAAAACCTTTTCGCTTTCCTCTGCGGGGTTTGGAAACCACGGCTTATCTGAATAAATTTAAGTTTTAAATACCGTTCACTATTTCTTTTAACTTTTTAAATCTCTAGTGAATAATAAAAAATATCAACACAAATTTGAAGATTAACAACACTGGATCACAAATTTTAATTTTGTTCTCCAGACGCCACTATCCAATTTGTATGTAGAATGGCTCGCTAGTTCCGAAAATCAACTTAACTTTTGAAAATAACAACAAAACAACAATTTGAAAAGAAAGAAAGTATTGATTGGTCAAATGAAAATGTGCAAGGACTTTTTGTGTGAAATATGAGCAGAAAAGAGTGTTACTCATACGCCACGTACACCTGATTAGGTAGAGCGTTTGCATTGAGCGCAAGAGATGTCAGAAATTATTAATTAATTTCTCAGAAACTATCAGGGCTACCGATATATAAGTGATGTACATACGGTTTATGGAGAAATTTATTTGGCTTAATTTCGCGTATCTCGTATTACGAATATTCAATTGGTTCGTAGGATATACGTCATTAAGTGAAACCACTTTTTTCAAGCTGAATGCCTGAAAAATTATTTCGGTTTTCGGAATCACCGAGCAATTCTACATAGGAATTGGATAGTGGCATCCATATCATATTTTTGATGTTAACCAGTGTAATCGTACCAACTGTTACGTTCAGGTCTTTCCACAGTTTTCGATTGGTGGGTCCCATGTCGCAAACGATCGCTACTACTGGGAAACCTATATTTTGCAATGTTACAATGATTGAAAATAAGATTTCCTTAGTCATTACGCAGTCATAATCGAAAAATATAGGCTGCTTCCACCATTTCCTCAATCCACGTGCCATAACGACTTGGACATAGTTCGCTGGCTTTCTTACGAAATCTCCCGGCTGATCATACTCGAAAGACTCCGCGACTTTCATCTCATCGAATGAGAGAACGCAAATTTTTTCGTCTTTCGAAAGATTGGACCTGTGTCGCATACTCTCGATTGATGCGGCAATAATGCCTTCGTTTACATCTTTTTTTCGGTACCAGCGTTGCAGTGTGGACACATGTGGAAGTGGAAAGCCATTTTCATACATATGAACGTACGCTCTGGGTCCTGCCGCGTGCAAACATATAGCATTTGAAATGTCTTTCCACGACCATTTCACGTTTCCAGCTATTATGAATAAATGGAGATTATCATTCAAGACTTAAAGACGAATGGTGAAACATACTCATCATTTTGCGAACTTGATTTTCAGTGAATATCTTTTTAACACAACCCACGACGATGTTCGCTACTTCTAAGTCTTTTTGCAAAGCATAGTTCTCGCGTTTTAACCTCTTAATCTCTTTGTTTAGTTCAGAAATTTCGTAGTCCTTGTTGGATTCGATAATCACATAGCTGAAAGAATGTATAGTAATAAAATGGAACTATTCCGAGCATTCTCTTTGTTTACAAGCACATACTCTGTCTGTGTTTGGCAGTCTTTGAAAGACACTGCAGCTCTGTGAGCCATAGAATTAGGGAAGCTATTTAAATTAAAAACTATGTAAGATAAAATATGTAAACGTGTGTAATCAAATGTACATACTTAACTGGCTCGTTCACATACAACTGCTGAGCGCTATTATTAAAAGTGTCACTCGAAGGACTAATGAAATAAAACTGCTGAGCGCTATTATTCATAGTTTCGCTGGAAGGACTAATGAAATACGGGAGACGAGAGCTACATTTTAGTATTTTTAATTAGTGTTCAAATTTCACACTTACAGTTCTTGCGAAAAAACCCCAGAATCTAAATTAATTTGTAAAGCTTGGGAATTCGCAAACCAGAAATCCGTCCTATATTAAAAATTATGTTGTTAGTTTAGGGAATGTTTAGTTAATTTTACCAAGATTTTCGGTTAGTGGAAGAAGAAAAAGATGGATCAAAAAGCAATTATAAAACAAAAGTTTTTCTTCTATATATGGCCATATTCACAGTCATTAGTTATCTACTATGCTAATGTTAAACCACCATTTTTCATTTTACAGTACCAGTTTGAAAGCAGTTAACTATTGTACATCCATTAGTTAACGAATAGTTAAAAACAGCTGTTTTCCTAGTAGTTAACTAATGACTGGGAAAATGGCCCATAAAAGCCCAATTTCTTTTGATGTATATATGTTAACACATTTCCAATTGGCTCATGCGTTTGGGCAAGCCAAGTGAAAATCAAGATAAAATTAACCACCCCCAAATTTTCTTAAAACTCGCTTAATGCTCTTACTCTGTTTGCACACAGCTCGTATTCTTTAGAAAACTGTCGCTAACAGTGGGGAAACTATTAGCGATCTCAGCAGGCAAAGCTGGAGGATGTGGGACTGCTTCCGGCAACAAATGTGCCCTCTTCCCGACGTAAATAATGTTGGAACTCGAGAAGTGATCACCACATATAACGTCATTTGGCTTAAATTGCTTGTGGCAAACTCTGCTCCACGACACCCGCGTTAGTTCCTCGCGTGGGACTTGGAAAAACGGCCCTTGTCCCCGCTTGACCCGCTTACTGCACAATGCACACTTTCCCATTTTTTTTTTTGAATAATTTTTTTTTCGAATTACAAAATTAAATTACACAAATAATTTTTTATCAATCACAATAAAAATTTGACTTGCGAAAATAAACAAACAGAATGTAAACAAAACTATTCATTTTGACAATCACGCACCAAACAGCTCAATTCGCCTTGAATCAGCTGATGAATCAACACCACCTTATATATATTCGCCTTGCTGCCGTATTGCTGTCCTTCGTTTGTCTCGTGAAGTCTATAGTTGAGTATGTTCAGTGTGGTCCGTTCAATCCTTGTAAGTGTTGTATTCGTCGATCAGTCTTAGTACGGGTCCCCACTGTCATACTTGTATGTTTGTATGTCGATGGCCGCCTACATCATTTCCCACATAAATATGTGTGGTAATTTGTCTGTTAAGAGGTGTTTGTTGTTACCAAACACTTTGTAGCCGAATAACTTTATTATCAAAAACTTAAATCGGCTACAAAATTGTTCTTACCTACGTGTTTTTTTTTTAATAAAAATAAATACTTCTAAATATTGAAACATAGACATGTATGCATGTATTTAAAAATTAATCAGCCGCTAATATCCCTATAGTCGCGGTTGCCAACTGTCCCGTTTTCGGCAGGACTCTCTCGGATTTAAGAGCTATGTCCCAACCCGGTACAATAACTGCCTTAACGCAAAATGTCCCGGTTTTCGGCAAAAAAATAGACATCTCGTTGTAAAAAATTTAGAACTCTTTGAATTTTTACATTTTATTTAATATTAATGTTATTTTATGTACTAATGGACACTATACGCCATATAGTGAAAGCAAAATTTATAATTGCGTCCCGGCTAAAATGAGTCAAGTACAAAGTATAATCGATAATATCGATAATCTTTTTTTTGTACTATGTACCTGCAAAGAAATTCCCAAAAATTAACACCATTTTTTACTAGCTTCAAACGGACACTTTGTTATACTAATATGTCAACTTGTATGCACATTAATTGAATTTTCCTGAGTTTTGCACGAAGTTTAAATTTTGTTTTTTTGTGTTTTTTGTTATGGTATGAACAATATTGTTATACAAAATTCGCGAACAATTTTAAGTAAAAAATGTTGCACATATTGTGAAAAATTCACCGTGCGTCACTGTATATACATAATTTTTATTTCAATTTTAGTATATCTTTTAAATAGTTAAAATATATCATTGAAACTTCGTTTTTTGAAAATTTGTATATGTAGATATATAGATAATTTTACATGCTTTTGTTACATATTGTGTATGTAATTTTACCTACCCTCTTTCCTAACATTCTGTTTGTCATTTGGATTTGTTTTTTGTTTTTTTTCCAAGAGAGGACCACATACACTTTCTACCTCCAAGGTCACTTCTGAAATTTATAGTGTCTGGGGGCACAATAGACCTTCTGGTCGCAGTACTTTATTCAACTATGTATCTAAGTACGAAATGCTCTCACAAAAGTGAATAAACTGCCCAAACCCTGGGAACGCAAAAACACCTATTTCGTCCCGCAACGAATTGCTCAACCAGCTACCGACGTAAAAGCGTAGAACGTGTCAGTTAACAAGACCTATCTTATGGGATTCTCGTCTTACCGAAAACTCATCACCGCACGACGGTGACGTTGTCGGTGCTTTTCTCTCTCTATCAACAGTAATTTCGTATGTTAATACGGACGACGGGCACGAAAGGGCGCTCCGTCGCTGGGTGGTTGAGCTATTATTTATTTATTTTTATTTATTTATTAGTTATTAATTTAAGATTTGAGCGACACAATAACGCTAAACGAATGGTTCACTTGATATTTTTTCACTTATCAATCAAACAAAAACAGCTAAATATGCGCATTTGTCAGCTAAAATTTGAATTTTTCAAATTTTTCCTCTTCTTCTGGCAGTTTGACAGTTTTCACCAACTTGCTCGGAAAACTAGTGGCTCTCAACAGCCCGAGAACCAACCA